GGTTGAACAGGTTTCGGTAGGGGAGCATCTAGGTAACAGTGACCATAATATTATTAGATTTAGGTTACTCATGAACAGGGACAAAGTACAATCAAGGGTGAAAACGCTCGACTGGAAAAGGGCTAATTTTGATGGGCTAAAAAGGGACCAAGAGTTGGTGGACTGGCAAGTAAGACTAGCAGGTAAAACAACTCATGAGCAATGGGAGATCTTCAAAAATACGACAGCTCACGATCTAAATAGATATATTCCCACAAAAGGGAAATGTGCGACAACCAAGCCAGCCTGGATGACCAGGGATATTCTGTCTAGGATGAAAAAGAAGAAGACGGCGTACGACAATTGGAAGACGCAAGATACTGAGGATAGCAAAGAACATTATAGAGAATGCAGGAGTGATCTTAAAAGAGTGATCTTAAAAGAAAGGCTAAAAGATCGCAAGAGAAGAGGTTAGCGGGTAACATAAAGGGGAATCCTAAAATATTTTACAAGCACATAAAGGAAAAAAGGTTAGTTAAAGTTAGGGTGGGGCCAATCAAAGACAATGACGGCAATCTTGTTGTGGAGGCAGAGGGCATGGCTGATGTACTGAACGAGTTCTTTGCATCTGTCTTCACAACGGAAATGGATGCCCCAAATGCCGCAGTATTGAATGAGAGGGTAGAGGAAATAGATCAGATTACTACAGACAGAGAGAAAGTTCTGAAAAGATTGAATGGGCTCAAAATTGATAAGCCACCAGGACCAGACGGGTTTCACCCAAGGTTGCTGTGGGAGATACTGGTTCAAATAGCGGAGGCTTTGGCCATTACATTTCAATCTTCATTGGACACAGGAGTGGTGCCAAGAGACTGGAGAGTAGCTAATGTTACCCCACTCTACAAAAAGGGGGAGAAAGACAAACCCGGAAATTACAGGCCAGTCAGCCTAACTTCGGTATTAGGAAAACTACTGGAGACCGTAATCCGGGACAGAATAAATCTCTACTTAGAGGAACATGAGGTAATTAGAGACAGTCAACATGGATTTGTTAAAGGCAAATCTTGACTAACAAATCTAATCGCATTTTTTGAAGAGGTGACTGCGAGGGTTGATGAGGGAAATGCGGTGGACGTTATTTACATGGATTTTAAAAAGGCTTTTGACACAGTACCGCATAAGAGATTAATAAAAAAATTAGAGGCCCACGGTATTAAGGGGACAGTGGCAGTTTGGATTAAGAACTGGCTGAGTGACAGAAAGCAGAGGGTGGTGGTTAATGGGTGTTTCTCGAAATGGAAGGAGGTGTGCAGCGGTGTCCCCCAGGGATCGGTATTGGGACCACTGCTCTTTCTAATATATATTAATGATCTGGACTTGGGCATAGAGAGCACTATTTCCAAGTTTGCAGATGATACAAAGTTAGGTAGGGTAGTAAATAGTGAGGAGGACTGTAACCAACTGCAAGCAGACATACACAGAATGGTGGAATGGGCTGACATGTGGCAGATGGATTTCAATGTGGATAAGTGTGAGGTGATACACTTAGGTAGGAAAAATGATAGGAGGCAATATAGACTTGGTAGCTCAATCTTAATGGGGGTGAACCTACAGAGAGATCTGGGTGTTCACGTAAGTGAATCATTAAAGGTAGCGGGGCAGGTAGATAGGGCAGTAAAAAAGGCATTTGGTGTACTGAGCTTTATTTGTAGGGGCACAGAGTATATGGTTAACCTATACAAAACACTGGTTAGGCCTCAGCTGGAGTACTGCGTCCAGTTCTGGGCAACTTACTTCAGGAAGGACATTAAGGCACTGGAAAGGGTGCAGAGGAGATTCACGAGAATGATACCAGGAATGGGGAACCTTAGCTATGAGGACAGGCTGGAGAAGTTAGGACTTTTCCCATTAGAGCAGAGAAGGTTACGCGGGGACCTGATAGAGGTCCTCAAGATCATGAAAGGTTTCGACAGGCTCGATAAGGAACAGCTGTTTTCGCTGGTTCTTCTAACCTCCCCTCTGCTTCTTTTGGTAGATATCTTAAGACTGTGACTGTGGTATCTACCAAAAGAAGTAGAGGGGAGGTTAGAAGAAATTTTTTCACTCAGCGAGTTGTTCGAATTTGGAATGATCTGCCCGAAAGGGTAGTGAAGTCCGATTCGATAATAGCTTTTAAGAGAGAACTGGACAGATATCTGGGGAAGACGGGTTTGCAGGGTTATGGGGAGAAAGCTGGTGATTGGGGTTAGTGAAAGTGACTTGCTCTGTCAAAGAGCCGGCACAGACTCGAAGGGCCGAATGGCCTCCTTCTGTGCCGTAACATTCTGTGAATCTATGAATCTATGAAATGTCTGCCTGGCTCAGTCGCTGTGTGTGTCAGCCTGTCTGAGTCACCGTGTGTGTCAGCCTGGCTCAGTTATTGCGTGTGTGTCAGGCAGACTCAGTCACCGTGTGTCAGCCTGGCTAAGTCACTGTCTGTATCAGCTTAGCTCAGTCAGTGTGTGTGTGTCAGCCTGTCTCAGTCACTGTATATGTCAGCCTGCCTCAGACGTGTGTGTGTCAGGCTGGCTCAGTCACTGTGTGTGTCAGCCTGGCTCAGTCACTGTGTGTGTATCTGCCTGGCTCAGTCACCGTGTGTGTCACCCTCGCTCAGTTATTGCGTGTGTCAGGCAGGCTCAGTCACCGTGTGTCAGCCTGGCTCAGTCACTGTCTGTGTCAGCTTAGCTCAGTCAGTGTGTGTGTCAGCCCGTCTCAGTCACTGTATATGTCAGCCCGGCTCAGACATGTGTGTGTGTGTGTGTGTCAGCCTGGCTCAGTCACTATGTGTGTCAGCCTGGCTCAGTCGCTGTGTTTGCTCAGCCTTGCTCATTCATCGTGTGTGTGTCAGCCTGGCTTAGTCATTATGTCAGCCTGGCTCAGTCACTATGTGTGTCAGCCTGGCTCAGTCGCTGTGTTTGCTCAGCCTTGCTCATTCATCGTGTGTGTGTTAGCCTGGCTTAGTCACTATGTCAGCCTGGCTCAGTCACTGTGTGTGTGTCAGCCTGGCTCAGTTGGTAGCATTCTCACCTCTGAGTCAGCAGTGTAAAGAAACACTTCCTGGTGTTTGTCTGAAGATTGTCCCTTCACAGCTCTAACCCTGTGTCCTCTTATTCTACTGTCTTGGAGGGTTAGAAAGCAACTATTGTTTCACCCAAATACTAATAATCCTTGCAAACTTTGAGACGTCTCAACGCGCTTCACAAGATATAGTGTAAAGTGAATATACAGTCGTGGATTGACTGACCCAATTACTTTTTTAAAATTTTTTTATGGCACTGAATGACATCACATTGCTGGTGACATCTTGTCCTGGTCAGTTGGTGACTGTTCCCCAGTGGCAAGTTCTCCTCTTTGATCAGAAACAATCTCAGCAGGTTTCTCTGAAGCCAAGGGGTAACAATATTATTGCTAGCCTCTGCCACCACCAATTGCCATGGGACCCAGCAAATTGCTTCTTAAGAAACAGGCCTGCGGTACGTTGCACACATAACAGACGGGAAAGGTTGGCCAGGCAGCTGGGCACTTTATGATTCTGTCTGAATTGTCTGATTTGCTGTTAGTGTAAATGTTCAGCCTCAGCAGACTGTGAGTAGATATGACATGTGTAGCCCTACATTTTCTCAATGGGGTGGAATCATCTGTGGGCAGGGAGCACTGTACCAGAGACTGGAACAGGAGGGGTACACATCAGCAGCTCCCTTTCCTCCATAAATCAACACTGCTTCACACATTATACAGATGTAAACTTACTGTCGCCCAGCAGTAAGTAGCAACCCGGTTGTTTGTCAATTGGCAGATCACTTTTCCAGGGTAAATTTGGTCGCTCAGTCCACGACTGTTTGTGGGACACTGCTGCATACAATTGGCTGCCGCAATTCACCAACAAAACACAATCAATTCAAATTACCATATATTCTGTGAAGCTCTTTGAGATGTCTCAACGACGTGATAAGGCGCTACATCAAATACAAGGATTATTATCATTAGTATCATAACTCTCTAGGACCCTACAGGTGTGTCCTCATCCACACCAGATTCCGCGAGCCTATCACCCTTCCCCACAAAGCCCCGCCACCCTTTATATGAGATGTTAAACTGAGGTCCCATCTGTGCCTGTTCAGGTGGACGATAAAGATCCCGCCACACTATTCGAAAAGAGAAGAGAGTTTCTCTCTCTCTCGCTGTCCTGGCTAACAATTTCCCAGATAAAATCGGTCACTCACTTCATGTTTGTTTTTATGGGACGTTGCTGTGTGGAAATTGGCTGCTGCGTTCATCCACAAAATACACAGTCATTTTACAGTAAATCCTATGAACCTCTTTGGGACATCTTTCCGATATGAAAAGTAAATCATAATAAATTCCTGTGACTTGTGACAAAACATGTATAAGATATATTTTGTCCCCAATGCTGAGTGTAACTGAGTTCAGTGGGTAGCACTCTAACCCATATTCGGGACTGCAACTCATATAGCAGTGCTACAATGTTGGGTGAGTGCTGTATTGCCAGATGTGCTGTACTTTGGATGAGATGTTAAACTATTTGAAAGGGCAAGGAAATTTCTCTCTCTCAGTGCCCTGGCCAACAATCCCCCACTTAAAATTGGTCACTCACTTCATGGCTGTTTGTGGCACAGTTCCTATGTGTTAAGGCCTCGAACACTTGTGAAGCTCTCAGTCTAACTGATTAGGCACAGAGAGAGTGACAACCCCTTACCCAGTTCACACAGGGCAAAGTGAGATTTTTTGAAGGGATTATTACCCTCAGGAAGCAATCCGCCAATTGTTAAAGCAGGTTCCTACTTACTGCTAGGTAAACAGAGCAGTGTTTGTGTGTGTATGTGTTGAGTAAGGAAACTTGCCTAAGGTTTTGCCCTGCCTGGAAATTGAATTGAATTTAGTGACTGAATAAATGTTGCCAAGCTGGAAACAGCATGCAGGAGATAACAAGTGAGAAAGGAGAGTTGGCTGTTTGGACTAACCTTTCTTTGCAAGGGTAATATTGGGTTCGTATTTCTCAATGAGCTGCTGAACTTGTTCTTGTTTCAACGGAGGGTAGAGGATTTCATTCAAACGGGGGTCCCGTTGCTTGGTATTGATGAACTCCGTCATCTGGTCAACCACTAGGTACGGTCTGCTCTTGGCTCCACTGAAATACAGCAAAACATAAAGTCTTCAATGGTGAAAACTATAGCATACAGTTGGCTCATCCATGTGCTCGAGTTTAACAGTAGATTTATCTTGCTTTAGTCTCATCTCATTATGAATTATTAATGAAAATCCCTCTTGAATAATCCTTGCTTTTGCTAAAGCATCTTATCACGTCGTCAAGACATTTCAAAGTGCTTCCTGGGATTTACTGTAAAGTGTAGTGACTCTGTATTTTGTATGTGAATGTGACAGCCAATTTGCACCACGCAGCGTCCAACAAGCAGCCATGAAGGAAATCACCAAATTTATCAGGATTGTTAGCCAGGATTCCCTTGTCTTTTTGCTACAGGATCTTTAATGTCCACCTGAACAGACACTGACAGCATTTTACTTTAATGTCTCAGCCAAAGGATGGCATGGAGTCACCCCAGCACAGTGTGTGTCAGCTCAGCTCAGTGTGTGTGTGTGTCAGCCCGGCCCAGTGTGTGTGTATGTCAGCCCGGCCCAGTGTGTGTCAGCCCAGCACACTGTGTGTCATCCTGGCTCAGTTGATAGACTGGGATATGGAAGTCAAGAAGTTGTATGCTTAAGCCCTATGAAGGCACTTTGAGCTCACAGGCCAGGCTGACACTCCAGTGTGGTGCTGGAGGATTGCTGCATTAGATGTTTAAGTGCTTCGAAACGCTATCTGTGTGAAGAGATATAAATTGCTATATAAATGCAAGTTGTTGTTCTTAAACTAAGGTCATTCACTTCATGGTTCTTTGTGGAACTGGGACATGGCTGTGTGCAAATTGGCTGCCGCACTTGCCTACAAACACACAGTCACTACACTTCACAGTGCTTTTGAGACATCTCAATGAGGTGACACAGCAAGGATATATGAATGTGTGGGAGGTATTATAACAAACACAGGAATAGGTTTCTTACAACTCAGAAAAGATATGGTCGATTTCTGGTCGAGGTCCAATATTAGTCACAAATGTCCTGAAAGCTTCCGGGCTGAAATCTTCAACAGGAATAGAATCACCCTGTGGATGACAATTTAAATCAAGTGTTAGAAAGTGGCACCATTTCACATCATTCTCAAACTAACTACAATGATCAATAAAATAACACAGTTATAGACAAAATGTCCCAAGGACACATGCTAGCGACACATGTGGTTGCAATTATTGGGACACAAGATATTCTTTTTGGTGAAGTGGACATTGATGGAAATAATCTAAATATTACAATATAATAATAATAATTTCATCACTCAATCCATGACTGTTTGTGAGACACTGCTGTGTGCAATTAGCTGCTGAGTTTCACCCACAAAATATACGGTCACTACACTATACTACAGTACACTTTTCAGTGAAGTGTTTTGAGATGTCTTGAAGACATGATAAGGTGCTATATCAAATGCAAGGATTATTATTATTATTATTATCCAACCTCCACATTGGCACTTTGACCTCACACACAGGCTGGCACTCTAGCACAATGCTGGGGGGAGCACTGTAAATCCTCCGTGCCATCTATTGGTTGAACCGTGAAGTTGCTGTTCTGGTGGATGTTAAATATCCTGTGGCACTATTCGAAAAGAGGAGTTTCTGTCCGACAATCCTCAGATAACATCAATCATTCACTCCATGGCTGTTTGTGGAATATTGCTGTGCGCAAATTGGCTGCTGCGTTCATCTACACAGTCACTACACACTACAGTTTATCCTGTGAAACGCTTCAAGACCTCTCGAAGCTTGGTGAGGTGCTAGATGAAATTCAACGACTATTTACATTTAGAATATTCAAATCACTCTAAAAATCCCATTCAGGCTTTGGCTGCAGGGTTAACAGGAACTGAGTGGGACGACTCCCTGCCCCCAGTGACTGATCTGCCCTTCGACGTCCTGCCGATGAGACGGGCTGGGCTGTGCTGTCATTAGCAGTGCCCTGGAATAATGTGGACCCGCCCGGCTCAGGAACCGGACTAGAGACCGTCACCGAGGGTGGACTCGATTCCAACATTCCAAACACATCACTTTGGAGCCAGCTCACCCAGGGAGACCCCACTGCCCCCACCCGGAGGATACATGAATCAGTGCTAAATGCACTGTGGCTTTTGCAGAGATAAGTTGGAATGCAGATGCCAATCATCAAATTCTGGGGATTGTGTACTGGGGGTAGTTCTCCCAGGCCTCCTGCTGTGTTAAGTACATGACCTAGTTTATGATGAAGTGCTGCTTGTTAATGTGGTTAAACACGTAAGGAAGAGCATCTCCATCAATAAAACAAAAGGACGCTGTCAAAACTCATTAGCACAACACAGCTGAAGCAGAGATTGTACAAAACCAAGGGATTACTTAAGATTTCCTTTGGGATTTCATATGTTTCATTCATTGTGTGTACAGAAAATTACCAGAATGAACCATGCCAGAAGGTGTGGCTCTCTCTGGGCCCTAATTTCTGTCCAAGATGAGGCAATGGGATGGTCTCACTTTAACAGTGTTCCCCTGAATAAGGCTTGTGTGACAATTCCTTGCATTGGATATAGCGCCTTATCATGTCTTCGTGACATCTTAAAGCGCTACACAGAATAGACTGCAAAGTGAATTGACTGTATATTTTGTGGGCAAAACGTGGCAGCCAATTATGCAATCCACCAATCAACTAACAACTGGGTTCCTACTTACTGCTAAGTAAACAGAAGCGTGTGGAGTAAGGAAACTTGCCAAACTTTTCGCCCTGCCCGGGAATCAAACCAGGCTTGCGAGGCAAGTGCTCTAACCTCTATGATACAGGATCTAACTAGTTCCAGAGTTTGGGGGCAGTATGACTGAGATGTTATTTTAAATTTTACACACAACAACAACAACAAATTACATTTACACAGCATCTTTCATGTTGGGAGGACGTCCCAAGGTGCTGGACAGTCAGGGATTTGGACCCGAGCTGGGGGTTGGGATCAGGAGGGGTGGAGGTCATGGAGGGTAGGGGTAGGAGGGTGGCCAAAGGCGCAGTCGAAGAGGAGGGTCTGACTTGCATTGAAGGAGGCAAGAGAGGGAGTGAGCAAAGGGATTTGGGGATGGAATTCCAGGGTAAGGGCAGAGAGGCTGAAGGTCTGACCACCGATGGTGGGGCGGGCTGGTCGGGGAACGTGAAGCAGGCCGGTGTGTGAGTGTCTATCTGGGTGTGAAAGTTGTGTGATAATGGAGCAAAATAAAACAGCCACCCTTTGTTTCACTATCTGTGTTGAAGGGGTCATCAAGAGTGGATTGGAGTGTGTGCAGCATCTCCCAGTCAATGGCTTGTATAAACAAATGAATCAAGTGTTGTGTCAACTGCTTACTCCTGAAAGTCACTCCTGGTGATGAAATACTGCGCTCCGTAGGATAGACTGTAAAGTGTAGTGACTGTGTGATTTGTCAGCGAACCTGGCTGCCAATTGGCGCAGAGGGATGTCCTGCAAATAGCAGGGAATTAGGCGGAGCGCAGGTGCTTACCCGGACGGACGGTAGCCCGCTGGAATCCAGCGCCGTCTCCACTCGCTTCCGGTCAGAGGAGAACATGCGGACAATGCTGCATAGCGAGGAGAGACTGGTTACACTGACTTGTGCATAGGTTAGGAAATGGATAGAATATACAAATAACACAGAACTAAAACAAAGCCATTTACACAATCAATCCCACAACATGCAACACCATGTATTTACAAAACGCCCTTCATGTGGAATTACGCCGTGGAGCACTTCATCAGCCTAAAGCTTGCCAGGCAGCGCACTCAATGACAAGCTATCTATGCAATTTTAGCTGGTTGGACTCCAGCAGTTACCCCAACGCACACTCTGGGGTCCCCAAGCCTTGACTCTTGCTAACCTGCACCTAATATTCTCTGGAATTAGATAAAACATGGGAATTTCCATCTGTAGATAGCTGACGTGAAACTCTCATTGTGTTTGAATACTCGTAATCACGGTGATGGGTTTTCACATGTGTCAGACACCAGGCTGATCACGGTGATGGGTTTCCATGTGTGTCAGACACCCGGTTGATTATGGTGATGGGTTTCCGTGTGGGTCAGACACCCATCTGGCTTGCCTGTGTAAAAGTAGGCATGGAGTGTGATTGGGACAGGTGAGGTTTGGATTGGAGGTATTTCAAAGTTAAATCACCTACTTTTTGACTGGAATCCGGGCATCCTGGTTCATTTGCAGTTTGAGCTTGGTGTACCTATAATATAAAGCACTGTGTTGGAAATGGGTGGGTTCCCGTCCCGCAACTCCCACCAAATAACAGAACAGGCACCACTGTACCAGTTTAGTTCAATTGGTAGCTGTCTTGCCTCTCAATTGGTTCAAGCCCAAAATCAAGACTCCTGATGCAGGACATTCCAGGGGAGGACTGACAGCACTGTGAGAGTATCTGGCCAGTGAATGCTACCTTCTGTACTGTGGGTAATTTCAGTGTCTGGAGACTAAGCTAGTCAAACTACTACAGGATGGTGAGAATTCAGGGGGGCACTTGCTTTATCCAGGGTGAGGTTTCGGAGAGCTGCACAATGGTGGGTCTGGACAAGAGTGAGGGAGAAGAGGAGCGGGCCATAGAGCTAAGAATTGGCATGGAATTTGATGACAGAAAGAGAGGGGGCGAGATGGAAGGGCAGAGGGAGGGGCTCTGATGGTGGAGGGTCGAGGAAGGGTGGTTGAGGCCAGGACACCAGGAACCACTTAAAAAGCAGCTGGATGCTGTGATGGGGGGATGGTAGGTGGGTATTCTGGAGGGAAGAGATCAGATGGATTTTCTTCATCCAAGTTAATCTTGTAATGTTATGTCTGCCAGATGGTTGGTCAGAACAGCACCAGTCTTCAGTCTTGGCTGTCTGCGGTCTAGACATTTTAAGCATTTCCACTTTGGAACTTACACTTTGTCAAATAATCGATCTCTGGATGAATTCTGGGCCAACAGGTTTGTTGCTAGATCAAACAGTGCATCTGTCCATTCCTGTAACAACAGATAGAGACGTGTCATTTGATATCAACTTAACAGCCCTCAGAAAATACAGGGCTTAGTGTAACTGGTAGAAGGGATGGACTCTTCCCACTCTGGGGAAGCAAGGTCAAAGAGGTAAATCTTGTGACCTTGTGAAATACCCATAGCTTCCCAGTTCTTATCAACTAGACTTTATTGTTAGGACATTGGGTTGCAGGTTACTAGGAGCTGAGGGGGAAGAATAGCCCGTAGTGACTGATGGGCTAGAAAACTAGCCTTTAATTCATCTCTGCCAATCAAGGGCCCAGAGTCACAACTGTCACACTGATATTAAGATGAAAAGTGAAATGTTTCACCACAGATTCAGTGTGATAACTGATGACAATAACTTTAGATAGTTTCGGGAATCAACAGAACATTGACTTTGGCCTAATCACGGAACCATAGAAATTTACGGCACAGAAGAAGGCCATTCAGCTTATTGTGTCTGTGCTGCTCCTTTAAGAGCAATCCTTTAAGTCCCATTTACCTTCCGCAAACAGCATTGAGAAAATAATGTTGCATAGGCTGCAATAGCACTAAATTGTGGGGTTATGACATGACATTATTAAAAATTAAATGTTTACTTTGACCAAAGTATTTCTCGAATATTGACAAAGGCTGCCCGAGAGAATGAGAACTGTCACAAGGTGACCTGGAACAATAATAATTATAATCCTTACATTTTAATATTGCCTTTCACGTGAAGAGGACATCTCAAAGTGTTTCACAGGATTACTGTAAAGTCAATGCCTGTGTATTTGGTCGGCGAAAGCAACATCGAATTTGTGGACAACAACATTCCGCAAACAGCATTGAGAAAATAATGCTGCATAGGCTGCAATAGCACTAAATACGTTTTTTGCATCAGTCTTTACCAAGAAGGAGATGGGTAACCTCTGATCTGATCTGGAAAGAGAACTTAAGGATGTCGCAGAGAAAAGTTGTGACAATATTCATATCATGGTTGCCAAACAGCTGTGTAAACTTAAGGTAAATAAATCTCTGGATAAATTGCATCCAAGGATCCTTAAGGAACTAAGGGAGGAAGTCGCAGAAACGCTGGCACAAATCTTTCAAAAATCACTGAATACTGGAGAGGTGCCGGGGGACTGGAGAATGGCAGATGTTACTCCTATTTTTAAGAAAGTTAACAAAAGTGACCCAGGAAACTACAGCCCAGTAAGTTTGACATTCATTGTGGGCAAAATTTTAGAGAGCTTATTAAGGATAAAATCATGGAGCATCTGAACAGAAATAAAATCATAAATAATAGCCAATATGGGTTCATGGAGGGAAGATCTTGTCAATTTAATTTACTGGTTTTCTTTGACAGTGTGACAAGGCAGCTTGATAAGGGTAAGACTGGATGTAAGGCCTTTGATACAATTCCTCTTGAGAGGCTAGTACTGAAAGTAAAGAAAGCTGGAATCAGTGGAGGTATATTACAATGGATACCGGAAGAACCCAGAGAGTGGTGGTACAGGGAATGTCATCAGACTGGGAAAATGTTACTAGTGGAGTTCCACAAGGGTCTGTTTTGGGACCTCTTTTGTTTAATATTTTTATAAATGACCTGGATCTAGGAGTCGCAAGCCCAGTGGCTAAGTTTGCAAATGACACGAAGCTAATAATAGCGAAGCTGAACAAGATAGGTTACAGGAGGATTTGAACATACTTGGGAATTGGGCAGATCGGTAGCAGATGAAATTCAATGTGGAGAGATGTAAAGTACTTCACATGGAGACAAAAAATCCTGGAAGGGGCTATTATTTGAACAAAAGGAAAATAATATGTATGGAAAATGAAAACAACCTGGGGGTCCTGATTGACAATAAATTGAAACTCTGAGGACAGAGGTCTGAAGGACACTTCAGAGATGAAGTGGATACACTGTGAGAGGTAGGATCTGCACTATTCAAGGACAGAACCATAAAGGTTGAGGTGAGAGGAGAGGCGGTGGAATAGGATAGAGTGGTCAACGATACTGAAGTGATCAATTGTATCTGGGAGGATTGTTGGCCAGGACACCAGAGAGAGAGAGAGAAACTCCCTTCTCTTTTGCATTTGTGCCATGGGATATTCGACGTCCACCTGAACAGGCACAGACAGGACCTTGGTTTAACATTGGATTGAAAACACGGACCCTCCAGCAGTGCTGCATACCCCTAGCACTGCATTGCTTCATCAGCCTAGACTATATGAGTTCCATGTCGTCACTTGGGGATTGAACCCACATTCTTCTGACTTAAGAGGTAGGATTGCAAACAACTGGGTCACCTGTACGCCTGGAGGGTACTGCATACATGTCTGGTCATTATATTAATAATAATCCTAGCGTTTGATATAGCTCCTTATCACATCTTCGAAACGTCTCACAGTGCTTCACAGGATATACTGTAAAGTGAACTGACTGTATATTTTTTGGGTATTATTATTTTTGAAGGTATTATTACCCTTGGAGTCAGTGCAGAGGAGTGCAATGAGGATGATCCCGAGTGTTAGAGGAATGAACAAGATTAGACAAGCTAGCATTTACAAGCAAGGATTAGCAAGAACAAGGAAAGATTAGACAGGCTTGCATTAATAATTGATTAATTAACATGAATAAATTAATAATAAAACAATTTCATAACTTAGTAATGTGTAGTAACTGTGTACATGAATTTTCATATAAAATTCATTCTTCATCTTGAGAGAAGATGGCTCAGAGAGGACGTTATAGAGGTGTTATTAAATATTAAATGGAATTGAAAAAGAAATCACATTCATTACTTTAATTATTTTCGAATGCACTGAGGCAGTAGAACAAGAGGACACAGGGTTAGAGCTGTAAAGGGGCAATTTCAGGACAGGAGGTGTTTCTTTACCCAGAGGGTAATTAACAACTGGAACAGGTTACCAGGAAGTGGGGTTGAGGCCAGAACACTGGGATTCATTTAAAAAGCAGCTGGATGCTGTGATGGTTGGAATGGTAGGTGTCCTGGAGGGAGGAGATTAGATGGGCCGAAGGGTCTTCTTCATCCAAACCGATCATGTGATCTTGTCAGTGTTTAAGTCATGTCTGCTGTTTCTGAGTTATATTTCTTGAAATATTGACATTACAGTGAACAATTCAACCCAGGAAAATCCACGTTTCATGTGGCTTTGGGAGAATCCCATGCACTGAATACAGAACCACATAAAAAGCCTCATAGTCTGATGTGCTTACTTAGCAAATGATTTCAACCATGCAATAGATACATCAAGCTTGACTTCCACTTTAATGAATAACAGAAAAAAGGGAAACTGCTGTCATCCGACACCTTTATAAATCCTCCACTGTTTACAGCCATGCTGGTTTTTAGGGCCTTGTGTTAAAGTGTTTAGTCTAATTCACTAACAATTTAATATATTTTGGCCAAAATTCAACAGAATAGGAACACAGAAACAGGAGTAGCCCATTCAGTCGTCGAGCCTGTTCTGCCATTTAATTAGATCATGGCTGATCTGTACCTCAACTAATCCTTTCAATTCCAATTTCCCGCTTTCTCCCCATATCCCTTAATTCCTTGACCTACCAACAATCTATCCAATAATGACAGCAATACGTGGAATGCAATCAGAATGGATTTTAGACAGGTTCAGAATGAGAAGGGAATCCATGGTCAGTGGGAGTTAATGATTCCTGCTCCATCACCAAACCCTCCTCCCGCTACTACTACCATGCTAATACCCCCACCTCCTCCCACTATTTGCCCACTATTGTCCAGCTAAGACCCCTACCTGTTAAGGCTTTGGCTTGCAGGGCTAATAAATGTGGAGTCCTGTAGCTCAGTGGTTAGAGCACTCGCTTTGCAAGTGAGAGACCTGAGTTCAATTCCAGGCAGAGGGCGAAACCTTGGGCAAGTTTCCTTACTCCACACAGAGCCTAATAATAATCCCTCCAAAACCAAAAACAATAATAAATTGGTCATTTTCAATCTACGACTGTTTGTGGGACATTGCTGTGCGCAATTGGCTGCTGCATTCGCCCACAAATATACAGTCAATTCACTTTACAGTGTGTTCTGTGAAGCGCTTTGGGACGTCCTCCCGATGTGAAAAGCGCTATATCAAATGCAAGGATTATTATTATTATTTTTATTATAATGTCTTTTTAGGACGAGGAGCATGTCTTCACATTTACCAGTTACCATTTCTGACCACTCTGTTCATATTGTGAGCCCACATGGTGTTTTCCAATCAAACCCAAATGATTTGGATGCAGCGATTAAATAAACAGTCATCAGCAATATGCCTTCACCAGTACTATTACACCGGGAAAACTAAAATCACAGCTTGGAAATGGCAAGAAGATCCAGCTAAATTCAGTTACACTCAACTAAATGTCTCCATGCTATTTGCTGAAGAAAACAATAGCAGCAACAAGCTGGGCGAGGAATAGTGGTGAGAGGGTCATAGAGTTCAGTGCAAGACTAAAACTGCTTCTTCAGGTTTATTGCCTGAGATTGAGTTGGGGTAGATCTCAGGGCTTATTGAGTGAGAAGAAACACTGACATTATTCCCCCCCGCAAACCCCCACCCACCCCTGCATGTCTGACTTCAGCAGCAGACCAGCCAGGACTGGTTGTGAAGCTAGCACCACTCTGTGAACAGGTACCTTTGCTATCTCCTCCTGGAAGGCCACGAAGTTAAGGAAGGAGATGTTGACCAGGTCGGGGCCATACACCACAGTGAACATGCGCCCCTCCAGGCGATTCCCTTGATTGCCCACATCCAGCAGCTCACGGAGCTTGAGATCCTGTAAAACAAAGGGAATGTGTTCTTTTCTCTTACTATAATAATCTTTGCATTTGATATAGCACCTCATGCCGTCTTCGAAATGTCTCAAAGCACTTCACAGGATATACTGTAAAGCGAATTGGCTGTATACTTTCGGCAGCAGCCTATTGCACACTGCAGTGTCCTACAAACAGTCGTGGATGAGTGACCAATTTAAGATTATCATTTTTTTTGAAGGGATTATTACCCTCGGAAAGTAATCTGACAATTGACTAAGAACCGGGTTCCTACTTACTGCTAGGTAAACAGAGGAGTGTGGAGTAAGAGAAACTTGCCCAACGTTTCACCCTGCCCAGGAATCAAACCCAGGTCTTCTCACTTGTGAGTCGAATGCTCTAATCACTAAACTACGGGACTCTATTATTTAAAATAGTCTATGTGTCAGCTCGGAATTTCATATGATCAAACGGGAGAAGCTGTAGCTCACAGTCCCTCACAGGCACAGTTATATAAACCGAGTTTTCCAGATACTCATACATGTAGCTGTCATTTAGGGGAATAAGGCATGAGACGAGACATGAGCTGTCAGTTAGATGCATGAGCACACGGAACAGGCCTAACTCCACAAACAACAGTATATCCAGAACTGTGCAACTTGTGTCCTCTCCTGGAACAGGTTCCGTTACCCCATCACCCCCACCCTTGCCCGGCTCCACTGACTCCCCATCCCCCAGAGGATTAATCCCACCACAGTCTTGCCCCCACCCTATAACTACAATCTCCTACAATCCTCCCGACCTGCCACTTGCTCCCTCCACTCAGTGGGCACCGGCCGGCCAGCTTCATGTTCCCTACTGTGCCCACTGTCAGCCATTCTGCAGCTCCATCCTGGAGTCCCTCCGACTTCCTCGCTCTCTAACCTCATTCAAGGCCCGCCTCAAGACGTACGTCTTTGACCGCACTTTCAGTCATCTTTACCCCTCCCCCTCCTTCTTGAGCTCCCACTCCCACCTTAAGTGCCCAACCTGCAGTGTCGAGCACTTTGAGACCTCCTCCTGATGGGAAACTCGCTGTGTAAATGTCAACTGTATTGTGTTGTTTAACATTCTGCTATAGTCACGGGTGGCAGCAGAGACAGCTTGTTAAACAGGCGAGGCTTGAGGAGCCAGAGCTCGGAGGTAAGACTAGATACAGGGGGAATGACTGGGGCTCACTGCACTGCACCACACAGGGTAATAAAATCAGGAGACAGCCCTGGTTTGCTGCTCGAGTAATGGCACACACAGCTGACCTCTCCCACTACAGCTGCTCGAACCCGCCACTTGCATCAGAGCCAAATAATATTTTTTTCCTTACTTTCACTTTTCTCCCTCCCTCCATCACCTCAGTGCGTAATCTCTACAAGTCAGGTATCATTCCCTTCTCCTACAGCCCTCCATTCCCCTCTCCTACACTCCTCCATTCCCCTCTCCTACACCCCTCTGTTTCCCTCTCCCTCGTGTCTGCACCAAATTTTCTCTTAAATATGTTGATGTTTTTTGAGTTCCACACTCTCCCCGTGTGTGAAGACCTTCCTCCTAACCTCTATGCTAGAGCTTTTCTTATATTAATACCCTCTTTTACTGTTACTGCTATTCCCATCCCTATCCAATTGTCTTTTAAATGTCCCCCAACTGTCTTTGTCGTAACAACCGCCCTAGGCAAATCATTACATATTTGAAGTGAAACGACCCTTTACTCTGATGCAATAAGCTGACGGTGATATGCACTTTACTGCCTCACTGCCAGCTCCAGAATATGAATTATATTCTGTTATCAGCTTCAGGTCGCAATACAAGAGCTGATTCTGTCTAAACTCGTTGTCTACTCAGGGAGTAACCAGTAACCAATAACCCAATAACAGTCAATACAGCTAGCTGGGTTCTCACCAACAAATCACCTCCAGATCATCTCAAGATCATTTAGGTGAAGAAGCCCCTTCAGTCCACCTGATCTCATCCCTGCAGAACACCCACCCTCCCGTTTCCCCCATTCACAGCATCTAGCTGCTTTCTAAATGAGTCCCAGTGTCCTAGCCTCGACAACAACTTGCTTTTATATCACGCCTTTCATGTGGGGTAGCATCCCAGAGAGCTTGACAGTGGCGGAGTCTGACCCCGAGAAAGGGGGAGGGGATTGGTGACCGTGAGCACAATCAAAAAGGAAGGTTGTTAGGCGGGATTTGAAAGTGGGGAAGGAGGGGACAAAGCGGAGGGATTGAGGGAGAGCGTTCCAGAGTTTCGGGGCGTAGCAGCTGAAGGCACAGCCACTGATGGTGAAGCGGAGGGAACGAGGGATGAACAGGCGGTCGGAGCCAGCCAAATGGAGGCAGAGGGTGGTGGAGTGTGGGATAAGCAGAACAGATCAGATCAACCACCCTTCCTGGTAACCTCTTCTAGTCATTAATTACCCTCTGGGTAAAGAAATACTTCCTGGTGCATGTCCTGAAATTGCCTTCTGCAACACTACTGTTTAAACTTCAGCAGTTACCACAACCCTTTTGTCAACCTGGAATCTCATATTCAGTTTATTACTTTTGGATGCACTGAGACAGTAGAACAAGAGGACACAGGGTTACAGCTGTAAAGGGGCAATTTCAGGACAGACACCAGGACGTGTTTCTTTACCCAGAGGGTAATTAACAACAGGAACAAGTTACCCAGAAGTGGTGGTGGGTGGGTGAGGCCAGGACACTGTGACTCATTTAAAAAGGAGCTGGATGCTCTGATGGGGGGGACAGGGCTTATGGTAGGGTGGGTGTTGTGGGGGGTGAGATCAGATAGACCAAAGGATCTTCTTCATCAGAACCCATTTTGTGATAAACCCTAGCTGTTTTAACGCTGAGCAACACTACGTTCTTTTGATCTAAATTTTGACATCCCCCAGATAGAATCAATCATTGACTTCATGACTGTTTGTGTGGCTGTGCTGTGTGCACATTGGCTAAAATACACATTTCGTTTCACATTTCAGTAAATGTTGTGAAGTGCTTTGAGGTGTTTTGATGATGTGATGAGTTGCTATACAAAATGCATGGATTAATATTTACTACAAAAAATTTGATTGGAAAAATACACGGGGCAAGATTAATTCCTAATCTCCAGTAAAATATCTCCAACAAAATATCCAGTAGAAAAATGGACAATGTGATTTCTGCAGAGGATGCAGATTTCTGCAGTCAACACCTTGAGGTGCTGTTTGTCAATCTTTCCCTCAAACACCCTCAGAACTTGTGCTCTGAATTATAGCAAAACCTTCATTACTTATGGCCCTTAAAAGGACGTCATTGGAGCTTGGTGAATTGCCCAGAAACCATACACAATGGATCTGCATGTTAACAGCCCGCTCGGCTACTAGTACCAAATCCCCACTCAGGCTTGTCGTAAACAACATTTATTACTGAAGGGTAACAGCAAAGGGTATTTCCTCAACTGTGAAAGACCGTTGTGAAGAACATTTTATTTTTACACCAGTGAGTTAAACATTCTTCTCTGTTGCCAATGGTTAGCCAGGCACAGTCAATCACACTCTTGTCTCTGCTTCAAAACATGGGGTTCAAGCCTCCATGTCGAAAATTTATAGAATCATAGAATATTTCAGCACAGAGATGGCCATTCAGCCCATTGTGCCTGGGTTTTTTGGAAGAGCTACCCAATTAGTTCCACTCCCCTGCTCTTTCCCCATGCCCTTGTAAATGTTTTCCTTTTCAAGTAATTATCCAGTTCTCTTTTGAAAGTTGTTATTGAATCTGTTTCCACCTCCCTTTCAGACAGTACATTCCAGACCGTAACAACTCTCTCGGTAAAAAATTCTCCTTATCTCCCCTCTGGTTCTTTCGCCAATTATCTTAAATCTGTGTCCTCTAGTAACCAACCCAACCGCCAGAAGAAACAGTTTCCCCTTAATTAATAATGTGCTTAATAATCCTGGAAAAACTTTGACTCAAAGATGATGTAGAATCCAGTCAGCAGGGATGGTTTAAGATTGCCGGCAGTAAATAAACATAGCCTTTTCCCTCGCTGATAGTTAATCTGAATTTGTTGAACAGGTGGCAACATGCTCAGCTCCACTTTCAGGCAGTTCTTGCTAATGGGAGGCTTCCCTGTCCTTCTCCTTTGCACTCACAATGAACAGGTGTTACTGACGTTTGAACTACAGCACCTCTTGTTTCTTGAAAACTCTTCTGATTTGACTGACAGCAGACCTACACAATGTTCCTGCCATCACAGCCCTCACACTCTTACTAAAGGTACTATAACATGCCATAACATACTATAATAATAATAATATTCCTTGCATTTGATATAGCGCCTGACCACGTCTTCGAGGCGTCTCAAAGTACTTCATAGGATATACTGTAAAGTGTAGTAACTGTATATTTTGTGGGCGAAACACGGCAGCCAATTGCACACATTATACTATGTTATAGTGTGTTATATGCTAATAACATGCAAAAAACATGCCATAACATACTATAACATGCTATAGCATGCTATAACGTGTTATAACATACCGTCCGTAGCATGTTACAGCATGCTTTAATAATAATAATAAATCCTTGCATTTGATATAGCGCTTTTCACGTCTTCTCGACATCTCAAAGCGTTTCACAGAATATGCTGTAAGGTGAATTGACCTTGATGGCAGGAACATTGTGGGCGAAACGCAGCAGCCAATTGCGCACAGCAACGTCCCACAAACAGTCGTGGATTGAAAATGACCAATTTCTTATTGTTTTTGTTTATTATTAAACAAGGGAGGGATTATTGTTAGGCGTAATATAGTATAACATGCTTTAACATACTATATGACATAACATACCATAACATGCTATAACATGCAGTAACATGCTATAACGTGCTTCATCACAATGCTGATTCATCTCGGTCTCAGCCTGGATCAGTCCATTGCACTGTCATCTCTGACATATGCCCCCAACAATAGCAAGTACAGTTTAAGCTCCAGGACTTCGAAATCAGT